CAAACGACACAATGCACGGAGACACGCGCGCGCAGAGACACGAGTGGGGAGACGGCGCAACGTCAGAAAGAGTCCGATGCAAGACGCAACTCCGGCGACCGTCAGCCCAGACAGGCAGCCAGGGGGGAAAGAAACATCGGATGCCCCCACATGGAGCGGCGAGACGTCCCCACGACAGACAGACACACACAAAACCACGTTGAACACCAACTTCCCCAGAGCGTTAAAATTGTTTTATTATTTTGCCCCCCAAAAGAGGCTCAACTTTTTGGCCGGCCGCCGCCCCCATCCCGCCCAACTTGAGGTGCCCTCACGGGGGAGGGAGGGAGGAAGAGGAGCGACTCTCTCAAGCGCCGCTTCCTGGTTGAGTGGCAGCCGCTCTGCCTCCCTGGAAAGACGGGCAGCCGTCTCGCTCTCCCCGCCGCGACGAAGCCACCCCCGCATTGTCCTTCCGCGCGTCCTTCCCCCTGAGCGGAGAGCGGCGAGGTCTCCCCCCCCCTCTGAAGGGGAAGGGGGGGGGCGTTTTGTTGTTGTTGCTGTTGTTGTCGGGTCCCCCCCCGCTGAGGGAAGAAGAAGAAGAAGAGGCGGTCGGCCCGGCCGGCCCTTACCTGCCGTGGAACCAGTCCTTGCATATGTCGCACTCGATCATGAAGCGGTTCACATCGTAGGGCTCCCGGCAGACGCGGGAAACGGGGGTCGCGCTGGTGGCCGCCGCCGCCACCACAGCCGCTCCGGCCATCTTTAAAGAACTCCACTCTCCCGACTGGCTGGCTGACTGACTGAGCCACCCTGCTCTCCTCGCTCGCTCTCGCGCTCCCCTCCTCCTCCTCCCTCCCAGCCAACAGTCGCCGCCGCCAGCCCAGCCAGTCACTCAGGGAAGCCGCACCAATAACAACAGCGCGCGTGCTAGACTCCCACACGGGGTGCGCGCGCGGCGGCGGCCGCTGCCGACACCTCCTCCTGCCCTCCCTCTCCCATCCTTTCCTTGAGAAGCGGACAAATGGCAAGGGCCAGCCAACAGTCGGGAGGGGAGGGGAGGGGAGGGGGGAGAAGAAGAGGACAGTCACGTAAGGTACATTTTGGGAGCATGCGCTGTGAAAGCGAGAAGGGAGGGAGGGAAAATACATCACAGAAGCCGAGAGAGAGACCAACCGCTCAACATCCACCCCCCCTTCTCTCGCTCGCGCGCTCGCGCACTATGAAAGGCGCGCGCGTGCGCCCTTTTGCCGCTCGCTCGCCCTCCCTCCTCTGAATTGGACAGCATAGCAAAGGTGGAACACGTGCCACCACAAAACCGACTCCGCCTACCATTCTTTCCTTTTCTCCTCCCTCCCCCCCCCCTCCCGGTTTGCTTTTAAAAGGTGGAGCTTGAGGTTGGGTAACCGGATCAGTCCCAAGCACGCGCTGACTCCGCCCAGCCTTCCCCCCTCCCTCGTCCGGAACTGTCACGTGGGCGAGGATGAAAGAGGGAGAGAAGGTGCCGCGAGGACAGTTTTAAATAATAATGGAGGGGGGGGGCTTCCTGCGCTCGGAGGGTGGTTGGAGTGATTCGCTTTCTCTCGCTTATGCAACTAGATGAGACAGAAGCAGAAGTGGGCGCTCTGCGGAAAGTGACGAAAGTGGATTGGAGTCACCCGTTTCTTCAGCCGCAGCAGCTACACAGCAATGCCCTAACTTTGAGTGGGGGTTGTTGTAAGCCATGGGCAGGTGCTAAGCTGTACTTGTGCGGCGGTCGGGAAGCAATCTGTCGGCTGTGTGTGTGTTCTACTATCAGCAGCGTCATATCCACAAATTGTGCATTTTTTTTAACACGTCCGCTGTTTCGGGTTACAGGTAACAGCATTTGTCCAAAGCAAAATCTAAAAACAAAAAGCTGCGTTAACACCTTTTGTTAACATCAGCTTAACAAACCACAAAAGTATCAGGGCTGTTTTTTTCCTCAGTTCTCACGTTTTCCTTTCCAGCCTCCTCCTTTACATTTTGCAGAATTTAAGAAGACCAGTAGTTGTCAAAGGAAGAAAGTGCAAAGCGAGAAAGACGGTAGGGAGGGCTACTGTGGCAGCTTGTTTTGAGGGGTTGCATTATGAAACCACGGTAGCAATTTGGAACTCTGCAGTGGTTGCAGATCCCAACATATACCATCATATGCCAATAATTCAAAATACTTATTGAAGGTACTGGCATAAAGTGAGATTTGGGCCCATAAAGTGCAGAATGATCACACACACACCCAAAATCACCAATAGAATGAAGATACAAAAGGTGGTTGTGGGGAAATATCTTGTTTTATGCAATAATCTGATAATAGCTTCTTTTTTAAAAAAAGGCAAGGATATCTTTGCTTTGTGATAGCTGAAATTCTGTTTCATAAAAAGTGGTGTGAATGTACAAGTATCCATTATGTGCTATGGAACAGTGTCGTAATAAGAAGAATACACTTTTACACTACTCTTAGTGTTCAGAATGCTTTACATACATTATCTTCTAATCCTTACAACTGTCCTGTAAGGTAGGCCAGTATAAGTATTCCCATGTATGTGCCAACCTATCAGGCACCTTTAAGACCAACAAAGTTTTATTCAAGGTATAAGCTTTCATGCGCATGCACACTTCTTCAGATACAATGAAATGGAAGAACGACGTTTGAGTCCAACAAGGTTTTATTCAAGGGATAAGCTTCTTCTTGACCAGTTGCCCCACTCCAAAGAAGAAGATGCTTGAGAAGAGATGGATGGAGAATAATGGCAGGGTTATTCCTCTCAGTTAATTACTCTCAGAATTCCACAATTAAGTATGCATCTGCCTATCAATCTTCAGTTTTGACATATTTATATCCTTCACTATGTTTTCCCCCAGGAGGGAAACCCAAACAAATGGTGACCATATAAACTAAGCTGCTTGTTCCTGTTTGGTTCTTGAATCTGTTAAACATCTTCATTATGCTGTATGCTAATTTACTACACACCCTCTACCCATATGTATGGACTGGTAATTTCCATTTCATTGTATCTGAAGAAGTGTGTGTGCACACGAAAGTTTATATCTTGAATAAAACTTTGTTGGGCTTAAAAGTGCCATTGAACTCTGTATAGAAATATTGATTTCTAAAAGTCTCATGCTTTCTCCTGTGATGACATTCTGTGTCCCTATTTCCTGTTGCAGGCCAAATGGTCCAGGGCAGACCAAATGGCCTAAACTACCTCAATAGCCATGCCATATAACCACACATTCTTTCACACCTCTAAGTGGAAGAGCCAGACCTGATGGCTCCTGGCTCTAGCCCACATGCAACAAGTCACGTAGGCAATGGAGAAGCTGGATTTTGGGTCATGTGACTGCAGGCGTGGTCTCAAAACTTCTAGCCTGTCCCCACACGCAGCTATGACAACCAACAATTGGGCACAACCCCTGACCACTTGTGATTGGCTGATGGCCACAGCTGATTGTGATTAGATTGAGCTATAATTCCATTGATCACTGGGAGTGAGTCTCTCTTAGCTCGCTTGCTTAGCCCTCCCTTCCTTCTCTGTCAGTTTGTTTTATTGCACCTGGAAATGCTGCCTCGTGAGATACAAAGAGTTGCTATGTGAACTGGAACACATGGGTGCAAGGATGGGATTTCTCTTCAAAATCCCTTGGTGCTACCTGGATTATCACCATGGACAATCTTGAGCTCTTGGATGCTATCCTGACTTTGGTAACTATGTATCTTTAATGTGTAGTTAGGGCAAATTGCCCTAGTCTTTCTTATTTTGTAATCTCTGGTAGTCTATGCTAATCTC